TTGTTGCACAAGATAATTAGTGTGCGGACCATTTTCATTTATATTGTGCTCTGTGAACACAAATTAGTTAGCATAAATCAGTTAAATGACAAAAAATTAGGTGTCTATTTACTTGTGACCACTGAGTGTATATCAAATTTATCTGTACATCTATCATACACGATTAAAAATAAATCAGTATCATGCAGTAATATCTAGACTTCATCAAATAAAACTCTTGCAGAGTGTGACAGAAAACCTTTACATGCTTTATCATTTTTATTTTCTGTTAAATTTTGCAAGGAGGGATTGGTTTTGAAAATTCCACTAATTTGAAGAAAAAGGTATAATGATTTCTAGTTATACTTGTAAGTCATACTTTAAGTTTAATTTATATTGAGAAAAAATTGGAGCATTTCATTTTCTAATTGGATGTATAAGAACATTACTGTCTGGGGTAATTTATCATTGAACATTTACAGTTGAGGTCAGATAGACATGATAACTGTAGACAAAGAAAACAGTTGGTGAACAAACATATATTAGATAGTTTTAATGTTTTATTTGTATTCTAATGCTTTTCAAGCTTCACTATTACTTAATAAAAAATTATTAATACAACAAAAGTTTTCTTGGGCATGCTAGCTAATATCAAAGGGAAATGAGCCCTATAAACATATGGGTTTTTAAACATTTTGTAAGAATAAAAATAAACTATTTTGTTATTACTTCTTTAGAAGTGGAAAGTCTAAGTGTGACTTCATATTAGGGAAGTAAGGTTGCTGTGACATGAGTTAGTAATGGTTAAAAAGTGGTCTTAAAAGCATTAAATTTCAAATGGATAGCTTGTATAGTTAGAACCTAAAAGTAAAATATTTCATAAAGTGTGAAAGAAGTAACTGAAAATATTTTCATTAACTATTTTCTTAGGCAGAGAAAAACTACTTATGGTTCCTGGTTCCATTTATTCAAGGTAATTTTCTTGTGATTGATGTGATTTTAAGTGATTCTGTAATCTCCATCTTCCACACCATCAAATATTGATGCAGAAGTGCCTAACCCTTGCTTAGTTTTCTGGTAAGCATATTTTAATTAACATAGAATTTTCTTTCTCATGGGATCAACCTCTTGGTAGTTTTTAGCATACCTAACTTAGTACAAAACAAAATACTGCAAAATCACAAATTACAAAGATTTAAAAACTCAAACTAGTCTAGAAAATTTTCAATTTTTGTTCTTGTCCATTTAACTGTCATAAAATATTTCTTAAATCATAAAATTTTGAATTTTATTCATTGTGTTTATACAGAAACCTAAAACCAACAAATTGTATTTTTTTGCATTATTTCCTGATTTTCCAAGTGTTGTTGGTCATTCTAACTCAGTGTATTAGTCTTCTGATGCAATACCTTACCTCTTTTCACCTAATAGCTTTCCTTGATTTGTGCTGCCCTCTATATGCACAATGTTTGCTTGTCACTAGCCTTGAGGCTTCCACCTAACATCACATGGTATAGCTGTGTTGTAGCATGCAACAACCATCCACAAATAGGAGTGTAACACACTCTCCTAGCACAGCTGATTCCCTCTATACTGTAGAACACAATCATTACTTCTTGATTTTACAGATGTGCAAATAATTTTTGCTTATCACACAGAGATTGTTACTCTAAGTTCTGACTACTTCATTTGCTGTTGTCATTACTTTATGGAAAGTTTTAAATTATTATTTTTTCCACATTATGAACTTGCAAATTCATGTAACTACTACTTCATCTGGTATGGATTCACAAGATCCTGATATTGCCAGACAGACTACTACTGTGGTGTTGAGCTCCACTTTTTCTGCTGAGGAGGTTTTGTCTTTAGTACATCAGGAGTTTGAGTCTTATGTGTAGCCTGGAGTGTCTCCTGAACCAAGGACTGATCTTTCTTTCCCTAGGGAATCTGTTCCAGAGGATGATGATTTTGACAGCTTTTTCTTCCTCCTTTTGCTGCACTTTCCCAGTGTACTCCTATTGATCTCCATTTTGCCTTGGCATCAGGTTATTTTGCTTTCCCCTTCCCTGATATTTATGTCCAAATCAAGCCAGTTAATTCCTTTCTCACCTTTGTGCTGGTGCCAGCATGCCTTGTCCTCCTTGTTTAACAGACATGCATGCCTTGGCTTACCATAGGTCTGAGTTTCTTTTTCTTGGCTTTCAGACTCTGGAGTCATTTATTCAGCATGGAGTTCTTCTTATCCTTCCTTTTCCCTTTGTTTTTCCCCTACACAGTTCTTACATCTTTGTTTCACTCTTACTACTCTCCTGTGTTATCATTCATCTATCCATCTGCTTTCTGAGGCTATTCACCATTCTACTGAGGGGTTTTTGATGAATACTGGCTCCCTTATTATTTCCACATTGGCATGTCATCTTTGGCTTTATCTCTCCATGCATGGTTGGTTTGTTGTTGGGACCTCTTGGGCAGGGATGCAGGTCTTACATGTGTTTGCCTGCTTCATATATGAGAGACAGTGTTTTTGAGGGTGTCTCGGATTCTCTGTAATCTTGTGTGGAGGTGGCATGTTGACACTCCTCCATTTCTTTTCTGGTTTCTTTGTTTGCAGGAGATGGAGTACTTGATATCCAAAGCCATGACTACTATATCTTTCAATGCACATGAGGTTCTCTCTCTTTTGAGGTCTTGGGCTTCCATGGAATCCCTCATCCCTTGGGATCATGCATATATGTGTCATCTCCAATGGATTCTGCATTGTCAATAGAACCTCACTTGGGATCTCTTGGGCTCCTCCATTCATCTTTCTCTTTTTGTACAAGTGGACTTTGCCTGGTAGCTTGACAAAGGCAACACCTCAGCTGGTGTTCCTCTTCCTCCTCCTTGTATGGATCTTCATCTTTTTATAGATGCATTTCTGACAGGGTGGGGGACATACTTGGACTCCCAGGAGATAATTGGTCCATGGGCAAATTGACTCTCCATATCAATCTCTTGGAGCTTCTGGCTGCTCCTCGGGCATTTCATTTCCTTTTCCATGGTCTGTGGGCAACTTGTCATGATCTATTCTGACAATTTCACTGTTGTCACATAAATCATCAAAGGGGAACCTGGTTTCATTCTCTTTGTTTTCAAACATTCAGACTTCTTTTCTGCCCTCTTTGTGACACTTAGGTCTCAGTTACCCACATTTTACTTTTGTGCTGTCATTGTGAATGAGAGCAGTGTCACCATTTTAGACATGTCTTTTCTAAGGGTATACTCTCATGTTGGACAGTGTCATTGGTGATGGTGACACTGTCCAGCTTTATTGTTTTTATATTTTTGTGAGCCAATGGTCTTTTTCATTTTATTTAATTTTTACCTAATTTTTGGGCATTGTTTAGCTTTAAGCTTGTTTTTTCTTTTTTATAGAGTTTTACTTCTTTTTGCCTTCTTACTGGTTATTTGTCACAAATAGCTTAGGTGCTTTGTGCCAAAAAAACCCAAGCAACCAAACAATCAACATTTTCTAGCCCCAATCACAACATGTTTGGCTTATTGCTTGTCATATCCCGGCCACCCCAAATCTTGTCACTAATAGTTTTTCTCAACTTGCCAAGCTTCTTCCAACAGAATGGTCCCTTCATCTGTGGGTGTTCAAGTGGCTATTCTCCCAGCTCAAATTCCCCTACAGGATGCTTTTACTACTTACCTAGATACCAAACTTTCCCTGTTCTGGTCCCCTGTTCCTCATCATTCAGCTCTAGCTGTGGACACATTCAGTCAGGACTGGTCCAACCTTTATCTTTATGCCTATCCTCCTATCCCTCTTCTCCTCTGGCTGGCCCAACCACAGTTTCCTCTGTTGAGCCTTGTCCAGTCCTTTCCTCCCCTTTCTCTCACTCCCAATCTTTCTTCATTTAACCTCATTCCTCCCTTGCTTATCTGATGATAGCCGCACTCCGTCTTTACACGTAGGTTTTGTCTGGTCACTTGTGAGATGCTCCAGACTCTCTTTGCATGTAACTTTCCCAATGTAAATGGTGCATTTTCTGTCTTAGGTCTCTTGTTGTGGCTTCTCCCTTTTTAAACTTACTGTTCCCCACCTTCCCAGATTTTTCATTTGTCCTTTTGAAAATGGTTTGTCATTTTCTACCATTGTGGGCTATAAGGCTGCACCGTCCAATATTATTTTTTTTCAATTTTTGTCGTGTCTTCTCCTTTCCTATCCTTTTTAGATCCTTTTGCCTTCTGCATCTTTCCTAGCCTGCTGTTTTCCAGGATTGAAATCTGAATGTTGTCCTACATGCCTTTCCTTACCTACCTTTGAACTTTTAGCCTCTTGTTCATTGTACCATCTTTCCCTTAAGACCTTTTTTACTTTTATCCATACTGATGTCAAAGGTATATTCTCAATAGTTCCTAAATCCTCTATCATCATTCATATATTCTTCTTTTTCCCAACCTTGCTTTTCACCCTGTCGCATGAGAGAGAAACAGCATGTTCAACTCTATTTCCCATCCATGAAAACACATGACATTAGGTCGGAGCCTCAAAACTAGTACTGAGCGAAAATTGCACATGAAGAGGATGGCACAAATCAAGGAAAGCTATTATGTGAGGAGAGGTAAGAATCTATTGGAAATACATTTTCTGTGTAGGAAAATTAAAACCTTTCAAAGAGTAGTCTTCACCAGGTGTTGTAATTTCTCGAGATAGCTTCTCCTTATCTAAAGATATTGGTTTCAGTAGGTACATTTTCCTCTTTATCTGGAGATTGTTTTATTGGGCAGATTTTATTTACTTGAAGATTAGTTTTATATGGTAGTTCTGGAGGCTGTAGTTTCATTGGATAGTTGTTTCTCTTTACTTTGAGATTATAGCTTCTTAGAGTAGTTTTTTCTGTTTACCTTGAGATTGTGGTTTAATAGGATAGTTCTTTCTCTATGGTTGATAATTATAGTTTCATAGAGTAGTTTTTTCTGTTTACCTAGAGATTGTGGTTTAATAGGATAGTTCTTTCGAAAGAACTATCCTATTAAACCACAATCTCTAGGTAAACAGAAAAAACTACTCTATGAAACTACAATTATCAACTATAGATCTATGGTTGATAATTATAGTTTCATAGAGTAGTTTTTTCTGTTTACCTCGAGATTGTGGTTTAATAGGATAGTTCTTTCTCTATGGTTGATAATTGTAGTTTCATAGAGTAAATCCTTTTGTTTTGTGGAGCTTGTATCATCATAGGGTAACTTTCTCTCTCTACTTGGAACTAGCTGAGGGTACCTGTTGAGGAAGCAAAAACTGTATAAAGGACAATGTTAGACAATGTTTCCATTCATTTTTTCTTTTTTATTAAATCCTTAATGGTATTTTAGATGCTAATTACATACCCTTCTTTATGGAAGGTAATAATTGACTCATTAAACTGATTAAGTACTTATGCATTTAAATCCAAAGCCAGAAGTGTATAGAAAAAAAAAGTGGAAATGTGTCCTATTTCAGGGTGTTTTTTTATGCCTCATCTTAGGCAAAAATTATAAAACAAATTAGCCCATGTAACCATTGAACAGTGTCCAGTAACTATACAAAAATATTATTTTAATCAAGCCAGCCAACTCTGAGTGCTGGATGCTGACACATACACACATATTGGATAATCTCTATAGTAGATGCATAGTTTTATTGGGTAGTTTCTTCTTTGATAACTCCTTCTGGAAATGTAGTAGCTTCTTTTCATTACATTTAGAAAGTAGTTTCATATGGTAGTGTTTTTTCTTTTTTTGTGATAGATGTTTCACTGGATAACTCATATTTTTCTGGTAATATAAGCTTGATTGGGTATCAATTTAAATACATTTTAAAAAATACATTTAAATACATTTTAAAAAATATATTTAAATACATTTTAAAAAGTACAGTTGTTAAATTTGATTCAAAATAAATAGCACAAATATTAAGACCAACAATTGCCAATTTTAATGTTTATTTTTCCACCAACAACTGGATGAAATAAGATTATCATACACATATAACTTTTGGTTAAAGCAATGAAACACCAAATTTAGCGCCATGTTTCCAAGATATGAAAATAAATTACATACTCTCACACAGTTGTCCTACCAACACTTACTATCTATAATATTCAACTACAACCTCCAGACAAAGAAAGGAGTATTCTTTAAAATGTATTTAAATGTATTCTTTTAGATTGCTCAAATTTCCTGCCAGAGATTGTAATTAGTGTTTGAAAGAGGAGCAAAATGATTTTGTTTAAAAAACTCAAGTCCAATAAGAAACGACCAAAAGAAGAAGTTAAATGGGGGTCCAACATTGGAAGTCCCTTTTCAGTAAAACACAACATACATGTTGGCTACAATGAAAAAACTGGAAAAATAGAAGGCTTGCCTGATCCATGGATTAGACTTCTACAGCAATCGAATATCAGGTAAATCACAAATTAGTTAAGTGTAACAGAATTAATAAATAGGTTTAATATTGGTGTTTATCTTATTTTACCTATGGTCATACAGATTTATCTGATATGAATTAAATGAAAACTGGAGTGAAAAACTAATTTTAACATAATCGTTTCAAGTATGAATAAGTATATACAGGCAGGTAAAAAATTAGATTGTAACTCTAATACTTCACTAGTATATTGAAATTTTTATTTGCACCAACAGCTTTCAAGCATTTTTAAGTGAGATGTGTATTTCACTTCATAAAGAGTACTTTTAAGTGGGCTATGTATATTGCCTAGTGAAGAGTTCTATCATGTGAGTTATGTATATTGCCTAGTGAAGAGTTCTATCATGTGAGTTATGTATATTGCCTAGTGAAGAGTTCTATC